ACAGCCCTTTCAAGGATCTGCCAGTGAATCAGAGATCCTCAAAATTCTGCACATGGGCCTTTGTCAAAGGAGTTGGTGGGAAGAAATCAGACAGCTGAGAACTCTTATCAGACACATAACCCACAGCACAAATACCGTATGTTTTCAGGCTCCTGCCTGTCAAATCCATCTTTTCGCCGTGCTGGTAAGTGGAGCAGGGTTGGCAATGATTTCTGCAGGACTCAAGATTTTCTGAACCATTCTCTTAAGGCTTATCTGTTGCTGATAACAGAATAAATCATGATCACCAAGAAGATGTAGCTGGCAGGACAGCAGCTGGCCCCGCGATTGTCGGTGGCACCGTAAGATTCTTCCCCTCTGCTCTTTTGCAGACATCACTGGACAGGGAGGGGAATCTTCTCAGTGCCAAGAGAACCATTTTTCTTAAAGCCTTGGTTCAGCAAGATAAATGCAGACCAGCCAAGCACAAGGGAAGAAGACATGGGCAGCCAGAGCAGCGCAAAAGAAACTAAGTAGACATCGCCCCCACATAGCAAGGACGATGAGAGAGGGCTGTTCTCTCTGGGCTGTAGGATCCCTTCCCAGGACAGAGACAGAGGTGCAGAGATAACAAGGAGATAACTACTCCCAGTGTATTAGACACAGCAGGGGAACAGGCTGCAGCCGGGCTCCCTGAAGGAGTTCATCCCAAGTGAACAAAACAGGCATTATGAAAGCAGCAGGGAAAGAGCGGGGACTCATCCTTCCCTTTCAAATACTGCTCCTCAAAGAAAGGACAGTAGTGATTTGATAAATGCAGCTAATTGTTAGACTTCTGGAGTGTGTAAGTGTATTGCTTAAGACTGAAAGGCAAGGAGCTTGAAGGGCTTTGGCTGACCTTAGCGGTAACCGCCAGGCTTGTTTGTCACCTAAGCAAACAGAATAATAAATTGCTTAGCTAGTCATCTAGGTGTCGCCGACTAGCCACCCCTCCCAACGCCTAACCACGGCATGAGGTATTGGAGTTACTGTGATTAGACACCGGAAAGGGGGAGACACCTGTGAGAGCAGGGGTCAGATTCTCCTAGCTTCTTTCCAAATGGAAAAAAAAATTAAATCTGTTATTCAGTGTCCACTGTCATCTGAAGGAGCCCTTACCTGCCCAGGCGGGACACTGTCCTGGCTGGGGAAGGCGATGACGAGGAAGTGAGGGAAGTGAGAAAAGGGGCAATGGGAGAAGGCAGAAGACAATTCTGAGGTGCTGACCCCCAGACAGCCACATTCCCTCGCCCCCTGGAGTGTACATACAGGCAGGGACCGGGGATGTGGGTGGAGCCGGGGCAGGGGCCCCCAACAGCTCCTACTGCTGGCCAGAGCTCTTTGCTGAAAAAGACTGAACCTCTCGGATTGGTTTTCCACATTGTGTGGCACCATCTCGCAATCATTTCCTCTTTTGTTCATCAGTTGGGGCTGTTGCCAACAGCAGCGAAGAAAGGAGGCTGAATGCTCAGATCGACTGGTGGCTGTAACATTAATACTGGGGGATGAGAGTGGCACGGTCAAATCAGGATGATCTCACTTCTGTCTCTCATTTCCTCTGGGGATGTGTTTGACCCTTCCCACCTTCACTGAGCTGCCTACTTCCCTTCTTGTCATACCTCTTAACTTCTCAGCTCAGGCCAGAGGCAGGTTACCTTAGAGGAGAAGCTCCAACCTGTGGGGAAAGAAGGGACACCACAGACAAAGGGTCAGGGCGCTCCGAGGCCCCCCTTCACTCTGTCTGTAGCCCTTCTTCATTAGCTAATGGCCTTAGATTCCCACCCACAATTCGATCTCCCTCCTTCCACTTCCAAGAGGTGGCCTGTGTACCTCGCATCAGGAGTGTTTCCTCAGTGGCTCAGTTCCCCACTGACTCACCTGGTCTGTGGAACCCTTCAAAACATTCTTGGTTATATTTTTTTTCTATAACACCTCCCATCCCAATCCAATAAAACTCAGTCCCATCAGCTTTTCCTTGTTTCAGAGGGGCTTCAATTCCACATCCTACCTACGGGCACTAGGATCGGAGTGTGACTATAAGTCTGGAAGCATTAGCAGTAGAGGGTATGACTGGGCCACACTCTATGTGGTGGAGAAAATTCCCAATTAGCAGATCAGTCCACACGTATTAGTTGGCTTGGCTTAAACTCAATTACTAAACACAACTGGGAAGAAGCATCGCCAGAGAGATGGGTCAACTGTTGCTGTTTCAGAAGGCCAGACCTAGGCTGCCTGGGCTCCCGTGGCTCCTAAGGAGCACGTCAGAACTGGACGTTGACTTTAGGGCAGAAATGCAGGCTATACTGTGAGCGTTTGAGAACCACTTAGCTCAGTTTTAAAATTCATTTCAGTTTGTAAAATTGTTCTGGGTTATTTTATCCCAGCATCACCCGCTGAGCTCATGAGTACTCAACATGTACCAGGGCATTTCTTACAGAAACTTGAGGCCTTCCCGGTCCTCACACCGACTCATGTGACAAGAGCTAGATCTGGAACTCAAAGTTTCTAACTTCCTTTCCCAAACTCTTTGGCTTCACAAAAAAGTACATCAGAAAAGACCACTCAAGTGCTAGAGAATCCTCTCAGCTGGCTGATAGTCCATGGAGTCACATCAACATTTAAAGTTTAACTTTTTTCCTCAAGAAGTAAAAGTCAACATATCAGAACAACAGCGATAAATAAATCATCAAGAATTTTTTAAGCAGGTTCTTATATGTTTTTAAAATCAGGATACTGAAGTATAATTTAAGTAGTGTGAGTTTTTTACTTTGTAAGGGTGTGTTTTAGTTTGTACATTTCTTTCAATTTTAATTGTGGTAAAATACACATAAAATTTATCATCTTAACCACTTTAATGTTCTGTTCAGTCACGTTAAACGCATTCACATTGTTGTGCAGCCAATCTCCAGAACTCTTTTCATCCTGCAAAAGTGAAACTCTGTATCCATTAAACAACTCCCTCTTCTCCTCTGCCCCCAGCCCCTGGCAACCACCATTCTACTTCCTGTCTCTATGAACCTGGCCACACTAGGTACCTCGTATCAGTGGAACCGTACAGTGGGTGTCTTTTCGTGACTGGCTTACTTCACTTGGCATAATGTCTTCAACATTCGTGCATCAGAATTTCCTTCCTTCCTTCCTTCCTTTTTTTTTTAGAATTTCCTTCCTTTCTAAGGCTGAATGATATTTTGTTTTATGTATAGGTCTCATTTTGTTCATACATTCTCCAGCAATGAACACTTAGGTTGCCTCTACCTTTTGGCTATTGTGAATCATGCTGCTCTGAACAGGGGTGCACAAATATCTTTTCAAAACCCTGACTTCTATAATTTGTGTCCTTAAAAATTGAGTGAAGGAATGATCCTAGAAGAATTACATATTCAATGGTTTTGCATTTATTACCATTTGGAAAAAATTAAGAATGCAGCACTAATTTCACCAGGTGATATCTTTACAGCTTCTTAGCGTGCTGACTTTTCAAGGGCTCCTCATGCTGTTCTTCAGGAATGTGTGAGTGCTTTGCGAATTGCCATCAAGTAGAAAGTAGCAGCAGTTCAGCTCTGTCTCAGTGATTGGGATGCTCTGATCAAGGGTGAACGGGCAGTGACTTGTTGTTTTGCTGAAAACCACTGTTCCCATTTCCCCTCCCATGGGACTCAAAGCCCCACCCCCTCATCCCCAACCAGGAAGGCATGTAGCTCTACAATGAAGCCGGTGAAGCCCAGTGACAGTCTACTCTGCCACTGAGTGCCCTGCTCACTGGGGAAGGCCTGTAAATAACCTCTGTGGTCCTGTTTCACAGGAAAAGAGACGGGCTGAGGGGTTGCAGGAATAATTTCATGAACGAATGGATCAAAGAAATGACCTGTGAATAAATGTTAGAGAAGGGAGAGACAACGAGCCATGTGGACAAATAAGATTCCTCCCCTGCCCAAACAGCCTCCCTTTCATGCCCTACATTGTCTGCAGGCACGTGTAAGCCATATTCTAGATTGCTTGGCATTCAGGTAGCCACGTTGCCTCAGCGATGATTGGGGGGCTGAAGTCTCAGCACTCTGCGCTCCTTCAAAGAAGAAAGGAAATCCAGTTCAGGAACCAAAACAAAGCTTATTCATCTTATCTCATCTTTTAAAACCCAAGACAGAGGCCTCCACAGCCCCCCAGAAATAAGGTCCTCCTGAATTAAGTGCACAGAAATGAAATGCATAGCCATTACAGGAGAAATAGCAGGGGAGCGGGGCTTAGGTGACAGATTCTGAAGAACAAACACACACCTTTGTGCTCTGTCTTCTTAAAATTCATCCTCTCACCTGCCAGCCTTGAGCATTGCCTATTTACATAACTAGCTGCCTAAAATGGAATATTAGATAATGTTACATGGCAGCTCACTCAATTTGAGCCCATCCCCAGGATATGAGAGTGATCCAGGAGTCCTCGACAGCATGCAATGTGGCGCGCTGGCCTGCAGCCATGCCTCCGTGCGGTGTGAGCCTGTCAGCACTCCTGAGCTCAGCAGGTGTCAGGCCCAATCGCCGATCCCGGGGGGAGACCAGCTGAGCAGCAGTGGGGAGGGGGTGTGATTCAGCAAGTGGCATGGTGCGTGCACTGTCTTCAGGAGACAAACAGCATCTCTTCCTGAGCTTCACAGCAGGCACCTTGTTCTTCCCAAGGTGTTGTCTCCAAGACAGCTGACAAAAAGGACTGAGAAGGGGGAGCTGCAGGATCTATGGGGACAGTAGATATGGGAAGTCATCAGTCAGCTCTGATGCCACCCCTGGCACCGTGCCAGCCTCGCACCCCGTTGGTCCTTTCCAAGGAACAATTTCCCCTCCCTTCAAAACTGGAGTCGTGCTGCTCACTTATAGGAGAAGTATAAATAAGTGATAAGGAAGTGTTCTGATAATGATAAGCGGGTATAGCTTCTCAGCAGACTAGATGTATCAAATAAGGCAATTGTGCATGCGTTTTCATTTATTTTTCAGCGTTCCAGTTCCTGTAGTAAGTTTAGAGAAAATTCCTAACCTAGCGAAGGCAGATGGTGCCAATGTCAAAATGAACTCTACAACCACTGCTGCGGTCACCGCCTGCTCCACCTCGTTCTCGGCTGTCTCCGCCCCACCCTTAATTAAGCCGGTCTTGATGTCCAAGTCAGTGCCACCTTCCCCAGAGAAGATCTTAAATGGCAAAGGAATTTTGTCCACCACAATAGACAAGAAACACCAAAATGGCACCAAAAACAACAACAAGCCTTACAGAAGACTTTCAGGTACGTGTCTGTGTCCTTTGAGTCTGGCTCGTGATTAGATTGACACTGAGTCACGTCCCATAGCCAAGGAGTGATGTGTTCTTAAAATTAAGCAGATCTGTTTAGTTTTAAGAAGGACATGGAATTTACCTGCAAGCGGGACCCCTACCTAAAGATGCAAGCAAGAGCTGGTTCTCCTCTGCCTGGGCCAGATGAGGCGCTGACACAGCTCAGTGCTCATTGGGATTACCCTGGTGACCCAGGGGGTGGATTCTGAGGGTCTTATTATCATGCTGACAGGCTGAACTGCCCCTGGGTTTTGTAGAGGTCTCACCACCGTGAAGCTGGACAAACCCACAGCGAAATCTCACAGTAGCTCAGAGTATTGGCTTGGGACAGTCCCCTCAGTGACTGCCCCACAGAAAAACACAGGCCTCTGTCCTTTGGCCTAGTTGGTTTCCAGGCTGATTCTGTGGTCTGTGGCTACAACTGCATTTTCCAGTAATCAGCTGGAATTTCTATGGGTACACTAGGTGAGCCTAGCAGATGAGGTATTGGGGGATGTCTCTTGGGTGTACCCCTTAGTTGTCTGAGCGGGCACTTGTGCCAGGAAAGGTGCTCATGGCCAGTCTCAGAGGCAGTGGCTGCCCTCTCGGGGCCCCCGTGTGGGTGCTGTTTGCTTGGATTTATTATAAAACTAAATCTAGTGGTTTCTGCTTTTTCCAAAAGACTAAAATGAGCTTCATAACTTAGTCACACACTGTGGACGTTTACCTAATGTTGACAAGAAAAAAAATATTGTGAAAACCACCCTGTGAGAAAGAAACTATGTCTTCTGGTATGAGCATACTTCTTAAGCACCCCAAAAATTGTGGATCATTTTTATTTTCTACTTTGTGTTTTTCTGTACTTCAGTATTTCTACCTTAATCTGTAACTTTTTTAAGAAATTATTTTTAAAAGTACCTCCACCCAAAGCATTCAAATGACAAAAGTATTATACCTGCAAACCTCTTCACGTACTCTTCACCCCCTATCGAGAAGTAAAGGTAGAGCCTGCTGCCTGCTTTGTGCATTGGGAGGCCTCACTGTGTGGACGGGAGCCCCGACTCCTGGCTCTCCTCCTGAATGGCAAGTTCAGTTCCAACTGATAGGCCTGGCTGGGCACAGTGTCCAGAACCTGCGGTCCTTGCTGTGGCAGAAGCATGACCATGGCTTCCAGCCTGCACCCCAGTCTGAAGTTGTTTGGGGATTTTTTGCTGTTTGTTTGTTGTTTTGTCTCATTGGGTCTTTTGCTTCTGTTGCGCTTTCACACTTGGCAGCCAGGCAAACAACCTGCTCAGTTCAGGCAAACATGAGTACTGGTGTGCATCTGGGTACGGGTCTGACTCGGACAGGCCCAAGGGAAAGAACTCCATGCCAGGCAGCCCGGGGCCTGGCACCCAGGCACTCCTTGGTGGGCGGAGAAGAGGTCTTTTAAGAAATAGGCATCTCCAGGTCAAGTCATTTCCTATTCTTAACAGTAAAGTATTAAAAAAAAGAGAGAGAGAGACAAAAGAAAAATAAGGGCAGGAAGCATTTTGATAGACAACCAGGGAATCTGTCTTGTATATGAGAATGGTTTTGTTGTACATATTGCCATTACTACCATCACAACCACCCCATGACCATCAAACCTTCTTTTATTTTATTTTTTTAAGATTTTATTTATTTATTTTGAGAGAGAGAGAGTAAGGGAGGGAGAAAGAGAGGGAAACATCAATGTGTGGTTACCTCTGTGCGTCCCCTACTGGGGACCTGGCCTGCAACTCAGGCATGTGCGCTGACTGGGAATCGAACCAGTGTCCCTTTGGTTTGCAGGCCAGCACCCAATCCACTGAGCCACACCAGCCAGGGCAAAACCGTCTTTTAAAAATAGAATCCATTCATTGATTATACTCAGAGTCTCAGAGTTTACTCCACCAGTATCAGAGAGTTTTTCGGACTAGGCAACCTCTTCAAAGTTCGCAGCTATCCAGGGCTCTTGAGGATACCACCACATTCATACACACCCCTCACCCACCCACTAATTGTCTTCCTGAATGCCCAGAAGAGCTGTGCCACTCCTGTTCCACAGGAGGCAGGTGTGTGACGGGTGCCTCCCAGAAACAGCACAGGCCACCTGGAGGGAGGAACTTGAAGGCCTAAAGGGAGGGTCCTTAAGAGATTGCCCTCACTTCCCCTCATTTTCCTGGAGGAGAGCACTTCTGTAATCCAGAGGGGATGAAGGATCCAAAATGGGCCTAAAAATAGCAAGTTTCTTAGAAGTAAATTAAACACGACCCACCAACAGTCCAGTGGGAAGGCAGACAGTGGGGAAGGCCTGGCCTTCTTGCAGCCATCCAAGAACATGGCCTGTCCTGCCCATTCCCATTTGGAGCAACAGGCCCATGTTGGGAGCAAAGCAAGAAGCTGTGAGACTAGCAGGCTCTGCCCTCTGTGCACCTTCAAGTTCCGATCTGCTTAAGGCACACACCCAGGCTTTCCCCCTGCTCCTGCCTATGATACCTCCAAAATGTTTCTGAATCAGGTAAACAATTTTTATGGTCATCAAGGCGGTATGGAAAGCCTTGTGCTGAGCACTTTGCAAAGCAGGAGAGAGGTAAGGTCACACTGACATGTCAAGGAATAATCTCCCGTTTAAGTGGCTAAAACTAGTAGGAAGGCAGGGTGGGGTTGAGGAGAGAGGATGTACTCTTGGAACCACCTGGGAAAAAGTAGCCCTTAGGCCTCAGGTGGCTCTCCCTGGTCTGCAGCTAGCTGTGCCCAGAGGGGCCGGGTGCCTGGAGAAGCTTTTCAAGCGAAATAAAGTGTGAGAGCAGCAGGGCTCCTCCCGCCACCCTCTAGTGCACACCCCACCCCACTGCCTGTGCCCTGTGCTACATCCCACAGCCCTACCGAAGCTGGGCTTGGGGACGCTGGGTTCAGAGGGGTGTCCCGTTTCCCCCTAAGCTGTTCTTGAAGCATTTTAGCAGTCGGTTGGGGAAAACAAAAACAGATTGCCTGACAATGTCTCACTTGTTGGTGCAAATGTGCATTTTTTTAATGTAGTCTTAATGCCAAATCCTATTTAGTCTCCTTTTTTCTTATATTTTTTGTTTGTTTCTTAAACCAGAGAGAGAATTTGACCCAAATAAACACTGTGGAGTATTGGATCCCGAGACAAAGAAACCTTGCACAAGATCCCTCACCTGCAAGGTATTTCTCTTTCCATAAAAAATACTTCCTGCTCTCGCTGGGGCCTTTGTCAAAATGTTTGCATGCCACTCTCTGCACACGGCAGGGTGTGGAACCTAGACATGACCCCCAGCTGTTCTTTGTAAAGGAAATGCTTTCTTCTCTTCCATGGTAGCAGAGTGCCTGCCTCAAACTGGCTGGCTTTTTAAGAAGGGAAAAAAAAAAAAAAAGGCATCCCCTGTTACTTGTGAGGCCAGACAGTAAATTGTATTTATAGGCACTCACAGGCGGTTCTAAACCCTGCTACGTTTTAATGTATGCAGGAGCGGCGGCGCGGCGGCAGCGCCCTGAAAGACAGCCCTGCCGCGCTCCTCATCGGGCCACGCTGGGGTGGCCAGGGGGACGGCTGGCCCAAGGCAGCCACCGCTGGGGAGCCCCCAGCCTTATATTTCATGCTGAACTGCTAGTGCTTCTTGGGATTAAGGCTGTGGCCCTCTCTGCTTGGTGGCTCTGTGTGTCTGGGCCAAAGCGAGCCTCCCACCTGCACCTGGATTAACTCTAGACTCTTTCACGGTGGCCTTTCATCAGAGAGATTTTCCTGGGTTCTGCACTGAAGCTCATCATCTTATGCCATTTTTTTGGAGGAAGCTTTGGCTTAACGCCAGGAAAGTAGGGCATGGTTGTGTTTGTGTGGTCTCTGCCTCTTCCCAGCCACAGAACAGGAGCTGTTGCCTTGAAGTTGACTTTTCAAGCACCTCTAAATTCCCATGAATTGCTGTTTCTGAAATGGAGGGCCCGGAGAAGCAGGTTTATGTGCTGATCAAAGAGGCTGTGCTTTTCATCTCTCTTCTCCTTAGACGCATTCGCTAAGCCATCGGAGGGCAGTCCCGGGCCGGAAAAAGCAATTTGACCTTCTTCTGGCGGAACACAAAGCCAAGTCCCGGGAAAAAGAAGTTAAAGATAAAGAGCATCTTCTGACTCCGACGAGGGAAGTACTTCCAAACCAGTCCGGGCAGTCACAGGACCCGCTGCCAGGATCTTCAGGGAGCTCTGGGCCAGAACCTAAAGTCACATCCCCTGCAAAATCCAGGCCACCTAACTCTGTGCTTCCTAGGTAAGTCCCACCATGGCCATAGAGGCCCAGAGTCCTTGGTCAAGTGACCCTGCCTTGCTGGGTTGTGTGTGGTCTGTTCAGGTGTTAAATGGAAGTCATAATAGTCCTGCCACATAAGGCGGTTGTGCAGTTTAAATGAGAGCGGGCCTGAGGGGCTGAGCCATAGTGTTCAGGGGGTTTTACTGCTGTCATCATTGTCATCATCAACATTCTCCTTAGCAGACCTATTCAGAGCAAGAGTAAGCTGAAAAGAAATGCCTGGCTGACACATCAGCCACCGGGCAACTTCCTGGCTGCCTGGGATTTCAGATTAGTAGAAGATTCCTGGAGCAGAGAGTGCAGAAAACATGGGTGAATGGATAATTGGCACATGGTAGGAGCCCATTTGACACAAGATATGAATTTTTCACACGACACTCCAGTGCCCCGGGTGAAGGCAAAGGTGGCATAACAGAGACTTTTTGTTCTTCTATTTCCCTGCACACCCAGATAGCTGAGCCACCTGTCTGTGGTTTTATTTGGTTGTCCTGGACAGAAAGGAGAGAACAGAAAAGAGAAATAAAACCCATTTGGATTAAGAGAGATTTAAAATCCATGTTTGTGTTTTAATGGGCAGTAGACTGTCACGTTTAGAAGCTGACCAGTTTCTAGGTAATAAGAAAGGGAATTCTTTATTCAAAAATACTTATTGAATGCTTGCTCTATAAGCTAGGTAACTGTGGTAGGTCCTTTCTGGCAGGGGTACAGACATGAATGAAATTCTGCTTTTAAGAATTTAAAGTTTAGAACATGAGATAAGACTCAAATATTCATAATGTCATTAAAAGGAAACATTAATGATATAATATGAGAGGTACAGGTCCTGGTATTACTGATGATTTTTAATGCATGCTATGTGTCTCACAGGGTCCAGTCAACAAGTAGGCTTTAAGGGAACATAGTTATAAAACAAGAGGAAGGAGTTGGTTTTTAAAGCAACAGCAGATATTTGGTGGCAGTTGTTGCTGATCTACAGGGCTCTCGCCCTCATGCCTTCCACTTCGGAACAAGCCTGACCCAGTTTGACAGTCATAGCCGCCCTGTAGGAATGCGGGCCTCAGCACCGGCATTCTGGAGACATCATGGATCGCGGCCCGCACACCATCGTCATAGCCACTGCCATGTTGTTGTCATCCATTTACATGCCACTTTTCTTGCCGCCCCGCATTTTGCAAGATTATTTTATTATTACTGCTCACTTTAATGTGGCTGGAAGTGAAGGATATTACCCTTGCTTTAGAGCTGAGGAGACAGTTCTGTTCCAAGCCCTGTTCCAAGCTTCTGCAAAGAGCTTCAATTCTATATGCAGTGACTTTCAGACTCCTTCGGGGCTGTAGAACTTTCATACCCACCAAGCCTTACACGGGATGCAGTATACAAGCAGACCTGCCTCCACCTGAAGCCAGCTCAGCCCTGCTTTCTTCACACATGTACCCAGAGCCCGCTCTGCCCCCCAGCCTTCCAAGGGATCACCTCATACTCCCCAGAGATTCCAGGGACCCAGTTTAAAAACCCATTTTACTATGTGATTTTGACGGATGGAGGTATTTCTCACCTAAGTGGGGGTACCTGATTAACAGAGAAGCTTGGGGCCGCCATTTAAAAAAAAACAAAAACAGGCAATGGAGTCTTAATAGCTTCTTCTGCCCATTCCTTTCTGGTTTAATTTTGAGAGGAATGTTTGTTGATAGAGAAATGCCAGATATAGGTGTTCACTTACAGAAGCGGAAAAAAGAGAGTGAGGTTAATCACCAAAAGGGATGTCTCTGAAAGGAAAGCGGAGGCAAAGAAGAGCATTACAAATGTTGCTAACAATAATTTTTGAGGATGCTTTTCAAAGTAGATGTAGGCACCAAAAAACTCAGGATGGACTCTGATCCAGTGTTCATAGGGAACAGCGTTCTCATGTAATCAGAGACCAAAAAAGCATGGTAAGAGTTTAATGTTATAATTACATAAAACTTAAAATATTTATTTTACTCATATTAGTCATATACATATGATAAATATTTCTTTTTTAATATATCATATTGATAATACTATTACAGTTGTCCCAATTTTTCTCCCTTTGTCCCATTTCAGCTGGTACCCATTCCCTCCAGCAGTCACCCCCCTCCTAGTTCATGTCCATGGCTCATGCATGTTGCAATAAGTTCTTTGGTTTATCCATTTCCTGTGCTATTCTTAACATCCCCCTGTCGATTTTGTACCTGCCAGTTATGTTTCTTAATCCTTACCCCTTTATCCCATTCCCCTTTCCGCTTCCCAGCTGATAACCCTCCAAATGATCCCCATACTTATGATTCTGTTCCTGTTCTGTTTGTTTGCTTAGTTTGTGTTTTTAGATTCAGTTGTTGATCGTTGTGAACTTGTTGCCATTTTAGTGTTCATAGTTTTGATCTTCTTGTTCTTAAATAAGTCCCTTTCACATTTCATGTAATAAGATCTCAGTGATGATGAACTCCTTTAGCTTTACCTTGTCTGGGATGCACTTTATCTACCCTTCCATTCTAGATAAAAGCCTTGACGGATAGAGTAATCTAGGTTGTAGGTCCTTGCTTTTCATAACTTTGAATACTTCTTGCCAGCCCCTTCTTGCCTGCAAAGTTTCTTTTAAGAAATCAGCTAACAGTCTTATAGGAACTCCTTTGTAGGTAACTCTCTGCTTTTGTCTTACTGCTTTTAAGATTCTCTGTCTTTATCCTTTGATATTTTAATTACGATGAGTTTTCTTTTGGTCCTCTTTGGGTTCAACTTACTTGGGACTCTGCTTCCTGGCCTTTCACATCTATTTCCTTCACCAAATTAGGGAAGTTTTCTTTCATTATTTTTTCAAATAAGTTTTCAATCTCTTGCTCTTCCTCTTCTTCTGACATCCCTATGATTCAGATGTTTGCACATTTGGAGATGTCCAGAGAGCCCTCATGCTATCCTCATTCTTCTGAATTCTTGCTTCTTCTTGCTATTCTGGTTGAATGCTTATTTCTTCCTTATGTTCCAAATTGTTGATTTGAATCCTGGCTCTCTCCCCTCCACTGGTGGTTCCCCGTAGATTTTTCTTTATTTCACTTAGTGTAACCTTCATTTCTTCATTTATGTTGTTGCCATACTCAATGAGTTCTTTGAGCATCCTGACCACCAGTGTATTGAACTCTGCTATTGATAGGTTGGTTATCTCCATTTCACTTATTTCTTTTTCTGGGGTTTTGTTCTATTCTTTCATTTGGGCCATATTTCTTTGTCTCCTCAATTTGGCCTCCTCCCTATGTTTGTTTCTGTGTATTAGGTAGGGCTGCTTTGACTCCCTGTCTTAGTAGTGTGGCCTATTGTAGAGAAGGCACCTGTAAATTATGTGAGGTAAAGCCTTTGGTAATCACCAGGGCAGGACAACCCACTTCACAGCTTTATGGCTCTGGGTCGGGAGAGGGCTTGGAGAGGAGACAATGCTACTGCCTCACTTCTGGAGGTTTGTCTAGAAACACCCTCTTTCTAGTCACTTCACCCACTTCCCATATGCAACTAACACCCTTCCAACTCTTGCCCTGGTGGTGAATCCCAGAGTGGGTGGGTTTGCATATGCTCTAAGTCCATGCAGCCCTTTAAACAGAGTCTCCTGCAAATCCAGCAGTTTCTTCCACTGTCCCAACCCCCACCGGTTTCTATAGCCAGATGTTACGAGGATTTATCTTTCTGGCTCCGGAACCTTGGGCTGTGCCTAGGGTTGGGATTGCTCACTCCCAAGGTATTTCTCCTGATTTTTACCTGCCACACGTGAATGTGGGACCATCCGTTACATTGCCACTGCCACCCCATGTGTCTGTGACTCCACCCCTCCCACGCATCTGGATGAATGTGGCTTCTTTAAATCCTTTGGCAATGGACTTCCATACAGCTTGATATTCTGACAGTTCTGTGTGTTATTTGTTTTGAAATCTAGTTATAATTATTTCTATGGTTGCTCTTAGAAGCAAAGTGTGTCTATGCTTCCTTGACTGGAAGTCTATAATGGATATTTCAGTTACACTAATTATCTACAATTGGCAAAAATATATATATTATCACACATGACTAGAATTATCATAATCCATTCCTGATCATGAATTCCTTTTGTTGAAAATATTAATGTGTGTGAATTTATTTCTTACATGTTATTTTGATAACCTTAAAAATAGTTCAGCTTTCATATTTTTGAATTGCAACCCATTCTTGTCAGTGGTTCCTAGAAAGGAACTTGAGTGTAGAATTGGAAAAGTTGAAGTTAGAGAACACAGGTGGAAACAGGATTGGAAGTGCATATCACAGCTCCATGTTACTAACTAGATGAGCATGGTCATGATTCATAGTCTCTCTAGCCTCAATTTGCTCACATGTAAAATAGAGCTAAAAAGAATTTAGTGAGATAAAGTACCAAGCTCATAATAAGCCCTGAACTAATTATAGCTGTTAGCGATGGTGATATTCAGTGGGGAAGCAATGAGTAAACAGCCCTTGGTAGTACCTGATTTCCATTTGCCCGTCTTCTTGCCTTCTGTCTCCCAACCTGGGGGCCCTCAAGTAACACACGCATATGTTCTCTTTCTTTGCCCCCTGACACTAAGGGAATGCATTACTTTCCCCAAAGTACCCAAGGGCTATGGATGACCAGCCCCGCCATACTGTCAGGACCCTGTTGGAAAGGAGGAGGAGGGAAGAGTGTCTAGCTGAACTCTGAGAAGCCAGAGTCTGACCTGTGGAAGCCAGGTCTGACAAAATCTGGACACATTCCCTTCAGTCTTGAGGATGTTCACACATCTAATCTTAAAATATAAAATGCCAAAACCCATTAAGTTTTAGACTGACAAGGGGCAGTGAGGAGAGAGGCAGAAGGTTCTAGATACCTGAAAAAGATAGAGATGAGACTGGAATGAAAGCAACTTCAGTTTTGAATAATTAGGATAGTGTTATTGCCATATTGTAAGCCATTTCTCTCCTTGACTTATGTTTGTCCGTGTGTTTTCTCTACATTCATTTCTCAATATGGGGAAGCTATGAAGTCTGATTTTCACCTCTTATTAACTTTGCAAGCCATTTCCTCATCTGAGAAATGTCGATAATAGTTAAATGCACAAAGGCAGTGGGTAACTTGGATGAGGAAGTGTATGTGACATGCCTAACACATAGCAGGGACTCAGTTAAGGTCAATTGTCTGGTGCCCTCTTTCCCAAAGCGATCAGACGGACTGGTGCTCATGCTCCCTCAGAGTGGTGGCAGTGGAGACTTTCTTTAAGTTTCCCTGAGTAAAAACAAACAGGCAACATCATCACATACACTGT